CCCAACCTCCGGTCCTTCCGACGCGCCCTAAAAAGTTGGCTTTTCCAGCAAGCCGCCCTGGCCTGAACAGAATAAAACAAACTATTGATTATTGTTAATTTTAATTGATTTTTTAAATGTTATTGTTAATCTTAATTGGGTTTGTTTTTTGGATACTCTATCTAATTTTTTTTTTTTTTACTTTTGTAATATGTGGTTTTTTTAATGTTGTACGCCGCCCTGAGTCCTTGGGAGAAGGGCGGCATATAAATCCAATAAACCAAACCAAATCAAACCAAAAAAGGACAGCAAAAGGTTCTCAAAGTGTATCTCCAAACTGAAGAAATGAACATCAGAATGCAATGTAGATTCAAATGACCCCAAAACAGTTTTAATTTCGCATGAATGCTGTGAGATCTGAGATGACAGTGACTGAGCAGAACAGAAATGTAAGCTGACATTGGATGCTTCAGTGAGAAAGCTTCTAAGTGTAACTGCTATAAAAAGGGTGAACTCTCTTATTTGGGTCGTTACAAATTTAAAAATAAAATCAGCAATATCGTAATTTTGTTTTAAATGAAATTAAGTCCCACAATGGATTATTTTATTTGTAATTCTAACATAGGGCTACAACCAGTGGTGTAGATCCAATGACATCCATTCGTGGAAATATTTCTCTCTCCCTCAGAATGTTCCTTCAGATCCTTCTGAAGAACCTTCTGTTGGAGTTGGATTATAAATACTCTCCTAACATTGAATATATTCTAGAGTAAACATTTTGTTATTCAGAGAATGGGAAAATTAATTAAAATTAACGAAATACTTAAATTTTTGAAGGCATGCCATTTAAAGACTGAAACTATGACATACGAAGATAAGGAGCATCAGCTAGTCACTGACTGTGTTAAAGAAATAAGTGAGTATTCTGATCATGTCTTCCACAGAGAATAGATCTTTAGATACAAATTCAGTTCACCTTCATTACTCCAGGTTTGAGCTCTGTACTATTCTTAACTTCATTTGGTCCTTTAAAAGGCAGTATTTTTCCGTCCAGATATAATTGAATTGCAATTTATATCAACCCCCATAATTGGCCATACTTGCTTGATCACAATGGGTTGTAATTTAAATAATTAGCAGGTAATAAATCCCTCAAGTTAAAGCTTTATATGTGAATAGAAATGTGTAATCATTTTAATTACATTTTTTTTCCTATCAAATTCAATTCCTCTAACCTTTTATCTGCCAAACTTTAAATATGGTTATTTATTGTGAATCAATTAGCCTTCAAATTAAATATTAACAAACATTGCTATTAAGCAGTATTAAAACTAGAGTGTTGAACTGGGTTTAAAAATTTGATTAATGGAGAATCCTTGTTGTGGAGGTCTACAATTCAAGCAGGCACAGTTATTTAGTTTGCATTTTCTTGGATTTTGCTTAAAATAACTATTGTACGAAAGGCTTTAAGGAGTTTGTTTTTAAGAAAGGATGACATGCTTCTTTTTCTTAACAAAGCATGTATTTCTGCTGAAATAGAGGAAGCAAATGCTCAGATTGCAAGAATGAGTGAAGAATTGATGAGGAAGGATGAAGAGCTGATTAACTACCAGGAGGAAATCTCATCCCTTTTATCTCAGATTGTTGATCTTCAGCATAAGATCAAAGAGGTAGGTGTGCAGAAAGTTCAGAGAAGGGAAATGATGGAAGTCAAACGGTTACCTGTATTAAGAAATTAATACTTCTAAGAGTGTTCATATAGGATTAAATAACCATATTTTGTATATTCTCAGCATGTAATTGAAAAAGAAGAATTGAAGCTACATCTACAAGCTTCGAAAGATGCCCAGAAACAGCTGACAGCAGAGGTATTGATGCCATTCTACTTTCCCATTTTTGATGTAGAGAACGAATATGGAAAAGAATAAAATGTAAACATTTTACCTGAGAATATTCATATTTTTCCTGAATATTGATGGAGAATTTCTAATGCACCGCTTTGATTCGGATGCCACTCACTTTGTTTTGGTTTTAACAAGTGAAGGAAAAAAACAGAAACTTTAAAATAGAGTCCACATTAATTGTATTCATTGTTTAAATATTTTCCTACTGCCAGAATATTATGGCCAAAAATTGGAAGGAGAAAGAAGCCATGAAACATATATCAAATGGTTCATGGTGCAATTCTCTATATGTTTGTGTTGAGGCAGAATTCACCGTGTTGGTAATAGCAGACTTCTGCAGAACTGATGTGTTGCTCCTCTGTTGCTGAAGGGCTCAACATGCCTGCTTTCCTCTCTTCCTTGAAAGGCTTTTGGCTGTCCCTGAAGTATCGCCAGAAGACCTTGGGAGGGTCTTAAGGTAGCATCAAGCCTTCAGGAGTTTAGAGAGTTTATTAACATTTATAGGCCGCCCTTTTCCCTGAGGGGACTCAGGGTGGCTTACATAAAATCAGGAGGGGGGAATCCAAACAATGACGTAGACACACATAGAGTAAAAATAATAAACAACATTCATTCATCATTCGGGTGGGGGCAATTATCTTTGTCCCCAGGCCTGACGGGCTAGCCAGGT